ACTGACGTATGCTATCGGGACTGCTGAACACAGTGGCCGAACAAGAGGTTTAGGACAGAACATTTCTTAGGAGCATGGTTTCCCTAACGACAGAGATACCTACATAAGCTGGCAAAGAAGGAAGGATGAGGAAGTAGCGCGGATCAGCAGGTTGGAGGAATATGTTCGTGAGTCACGAGAGGCGTTGCTTCAAGCACAAGAGCGCGAGAAAAACATGCAAGCTAGAATGCAAGACAAAATCATAAAGCAAGTGCAAATAGCAATGAGTGCTCAAAGGCAGACATTAGATGCAGGAATCAACATTAATATTAGCCCCCCTGATCAGTTGAAAAGCAGCTGCGCTTCCACAGAGTTGCCAAATCAAGATGACGCAATGCTACGTTTCCCTGTGGATGACATCACTGCACCGTTTACATCATGTGAGCTACATATTCCAAAAGAGAATGCCACAATCATGGTGGCTCTTGATGTTTTTCTCCTCCAGATCCTACCAAGACACCAAGAATCCATGGGGCAATAATACCACTTGGATATATTAACGTCTCAGTGGATAGAGTTAACAAATGTTTTAGTGATCTAGCTCTTGACATTCCAGGAGGTGATGGGGAGAAGACTCTAGGAGAAGCAGAGAAGACATTCATACTATGGCGCAAGCGCTACATCATTATTCCCGGGGTCTCTAGTCCACCGCCGCTTCCTCAATTGCCAGACAATAGGTGCGGACATAAGTGAACAAAAAAAATTCACTAATTTTTTATTGACATGCATGATTAAAAATAACAATTTCTTATACCTAATTATTCTTTTTTGTACTCACACAGCAGGGTCTCCGCCAACCTAAGTCTAATTATCCAATCTCCAGATCATCATAGTGCTCCGGAAAATCAGGTGGCAACGCCGCCACCGCCGCCACCTCCAAGGAGGTCTCCAATGCCTCCAAGGAGGTCTCCAACGCCTCCAAGGAGGTCTCCAACGGCTTCCCCGCCTCCCTTGATGACTAAGAAGAAGCCAGCTCCTAAGAGGTCCGCCCCGCAAACGAAGCCGTTGGCCCACCAGCCGGTAAAGAAGAAAGCCATATCTAATCCAATTATTCCCCAAAAACTGTCTTACGAGAAAAGTGAAAAGGAATTAAATGCTGCAGTACAAAAAGATGTGGACAGTTTCTTTGAAAAAGTGAAAAAGCAACAAGAAGCGAGGGAGAACCCGGAGAAACCGTACTTCTACCTACCTCCAGATCTTCTAAGAAAGAAGGTGGACCAGAAAAAGCAGGAATCTCAAAAGACCCTACCAAAATCGGACTACGACCGCTCTCTCACCAAGTCATTTGAGGCGGCGCAGAAAAAGACTAGACCAGAGAAAGGTGTTGCACAACTCGGACAACAATCGCAACAATCAGTCCCCCCTCTCGTCGTTCATAATGAATATGGTTCGAACTTAGACTTAGACATCGATTTTGAGGAGCTGGCTCGGTTTTACGAGGAAACTGGTTTAGACCTTGCCCAAGTGCTCGCTAAAGGACCATCTGCTCTGAAAGTGGATCCTTGGAAGAAATTTGAACATGGAAAGAATCTATGCAACCCTGAGGCCTTAGGTGATCTGGGTACGCAAATGTACCTGCTAAACAAGTGGTACATGGCGGCGTGTGAATGAGGAGAGGCCTTTGTTCCTGTCAGATTTAGAAACCAACATTACTTCCATGGCGATGACGTTATATATGTCGAGTTTGTAGAATTACACCAACTATGCCACCTAGACTCTCTCGACAAAAGTCTCATTAGCTGATATTGTTTGTAAGTGTGATTATTTTCTACTATTAAAGTGTATATATATATATATAAAGCTACATGTATATATATAAATTATATATCCTCACACTATATTTTTATATATGCAGATATGAGATGACAAAACTCAAAAAGAGAAAGGATAATGATGTTGGTTTCATTGATCCAAATGTCGTATTCAAACATCCTAACCCCCCGCCTCAATGGAAAGCTGAACTCGAGAAAAATCTCATGAAGTTCTTAGTGAACCAATAAAACAAGAACATACTCTTCCCCTGCAACTTCAAGTGAGTGTTAAATAATTAATGTCGATCGTATGAACATTTGTTCAATTATTTGCTTACTAGCTAAGCTATCTCCCATATATATATATATAAAAGTGGGTTCTAAGGCAAGAACAAGGGAACAACTACTGCGGATACTATGTTTGCGAGTTCATCATGGCGTACGCAAAAAGAACTCCTGAAGAGATCCTCAAAGTACGTTATATAAATATATTCATATATTCACAATTTCTTTTATTGCTCATATATATAAGTAATCACGTGACCAACACACACATATATATATATATATATTAATACTTTTCCTTTAACTTTTATTGAAGACTCTATGGTTGAAGGAAAAAGTCATACGACATGACCAACTGAAAGCAATTCAAGAGACCATAGCAGGATTTCTTAATGACTAGGTCCTCAACCCCGCCGGCGAGTTCTACAATGACATCAACAAAACATGGAAGCCAAACCAGATGGAGTGAATTTGTTATCCCAAGGATATGATAGAATATACAATGCAAACTTTATTTGTAATATATATATATACATAAAATAACGTACAATATATGTATATGCATGTAATATATATGTTAGTTTCATACTTTAGTTTGTACAAAATGTTCGAACATTATAAACGTGTAGAATACGTATATTACTAGCAGCGTAGAATGCGTATTCGAAAACCTATTCGAAAACCAAAACGAATCATCAATTGAAAATGGAAACAAAAAGAAAAAAAGGAAACCTTTAGTCCCGGTTGGTAATATCAACCGGGACTAAAGGGTCGCCCCACGTGGCCAGGCCGGGAGGCCTCTTTAGTCCCGGGCGAGAAGCCGGGACTAAAGGATGGGCCCTTTAGTCCCGGATTCGTGCTCCTGGTTGGGAAACCAGGACTGAAAGGGTTTCCCAACCGGGAGTAAAGCCCGTTTCTATACTAGTGTTTCTATATTATGCGGTTACTTTATTATAAATATAATTTTCATACAAATTATTAGCCAAAACCATGCATAAGACCATTTCATGCCCAGTGACCAAAAGGATTACAAAGTCCCACACCTTCCACCTCGAGTACTAATCATAGAAGTCTGAAGTTTGATTTTGATATTTCATGATTGGTAGTTATGGCATGAAGAGAAACTTTAATGTATCTGAGAGACATCATTTATTAATTTATGACATGTGTGTTTGATGGCCTCACTTCATTGCATTATTGTCTCTGGTTTTCTACATGATTGCTTCAACACATGTACAAACTTGTAGTAGAAAGTTTGCCATAGCTGAGTTTTGATCCTAGATCCACCGCATCAAATAATTATGGTTAACTTCAAGTTAAAGCACATAACAAGGGGTTTATGTCCTTTTCACGTGCGCGTGCTATATGTTAGTGCATGAATTGACAAAGATGTGGCATCCTTAGTTGTGTACATAGTTACTGATAGCATACAAATGTTTTAAATTGTAAGTGAGAAGGGACTACAAGTGTGGCAAAAAAATCCTCACCCCGCACGCATGGTCGCTCTCCAAGGCAACTCAAGTGGCCCCATGTTAGGTCAACCCCTCTCCCCCTCCAAACCTTTCCTTGCATCTCATTGTCGCTAGCTTGAGCTAGCTACCAGAAGCTCGTGCACCAGCAAAGGAGGGATAGGGCATCGATAGGGATTGAGCTAGCTATGGGGATCATGCATAATGAAGGGCCTTATTAGTTGTTGTCAATCCGAGCTCCGATAATGCTCATGGTGAGGGCTACCTAGGGTGGTAAGGGGCTAGGTCTGGCCCTTCCATAGCCATGGCCCATGGGCATCATCCTTGGCGGTGATGCATGACATGGCATCGATTGAGGTGAGGTATTATATTGCATGGGTGTGAATCCATGGTGTTGCCACTGGTAGGGGCGCATGAGGGTACGATGTTGGTGGAGTTGTGCTAGGAGGATGTGTTTTATGGAGACGAACATCAGAGAGTTGGACTTTGCTATTGCTACCGTTGATTTCTGGGAAGTGTTTTGCCAGACCCCTAATGCATAGTATCCTCCCTTGTGTATCTCTCTCCATATGGCTCAAGTGGGAGACCTTGGATACTGGAGGAGGGTTAGCTCTCCATTAGGTGTGGTGGTCATTGCACCATTGGCGTGGCAAGGGTTCAGACGTTCGGCTCCTCTTTTAGGGGTAGATCGATAAAGGTTAGGACGAGAGCCTAAATGCCATGCATTGTGGGTGTTGTTCCTCCAGGATGAGAGCCTAAATGTCAAGCCTTTGTGGTTGTTGTTTTCTCCTTGGAGGCATCTTTGATGTGGGTTCTTGTCCAATTGTCTTCGTCTTAGAACATAAGAGACTGGCTATATGCACTTGGACAGGTACTTATGAGATGCATATCCATGTGTATAACTAAAATCCCTCATATTTCACGATAGAGGTAGTATCTTGTTTTCTCTGGGTGAAAACCCAACCCTATTCTTGGGCTGGTGACTGAGAACCATTGGCGTGACAGCTTTGAAGGTGTCATCATGGAGTATTTTTTTTGCAAAGATATCGTGTATTCCTAGAAATACCCATAAATCATGCTTTTTTTTTTCTAAAACACTAGAAGGACACTTGTTTTGGTTCTCTCTTAATGATGCCATCTTATTATTCGGGAAAAAAAACCTATTGGGTGTAATTGTGTCCTTGCTTGAGACGGGTGATTGGATTTACCCATGAACATGAAGTGGATTAGACACTTGCCACTAAACCTCTTACATAACACAGAATTATCAAGATCAAAATCCAGAGACTGTTCGAAATGCTCACGTTTTTCACACGCCCAAAGCCCAAAAAAGCCAAAGAGGTGTTTTCAGTCAATTAAAAAAAAAGAAAAAAAAATAAAGAGAGGATGGATAGGACTTTGGACTTTGGAGGTACGCTCCACCTCAGTCACACACTCCTTACACACTCCCACTCCAATGGCTGCCGCCGCTCTCCCGCACTCCCACCCCCGCCTCCGCCTCCCGCTCCACACTCCCAGTCCCGCCTCCCGCCGCCGCCACCGCTCCCTTCTTCGCCTCCCCTCTTTCGTCGCCGCCTCCCTCCTCCAGAACCCCACCACCGCGACCCACCCGGTCCTGCCGCCCCCGGCTCCGCCCCCCTCCGCCGCGCTCCTCGCCGCCGAGAGCGCCTCCCTCGCGCCGCACCGCGAGCCCCGCTTCCCGGGCTCGCTCTCCTCCCCAACAAGCCCCGCTGGCTCCGCCTCCGCATCCGCCGGCCTATCCGAGGCGGAGGACGCCGTCCTGCGCCGCGCCCTCCAGGTGCGCCGCGCCGTCGCCGCCGAGGCCCTCGTGGCCGCGCTCGGCGGCGGGAAGATCGGCGGCCTGACTTACATCAAGAACCTCACGGCGCGGATGGGCCCGTTCGTGGACCGCGTCGTCGTCGAGGCCGCCGCAATGCGGCGGGACCACCCCGACCTCGCGCACATGTCCTTCAACGCCCGGGCAAAGGCGTACATCCAGGAGTCTGGCCTTGTCGAGCTTGTCAAGTAAAGAACGCCACTTTGCTTGTTTCATCTATTTCTTCGAATTATTTATATTCAGTATGCACAAGAATTGCGATTATTTAAACTACCGGAAGCATTGCAATTTGCAAATCATAAACATGCAGTTTTTCTAGTTTAGGCATGTACTGTGGTTCCCTAAGACCCCAATTAGCACTGAGATTGTTACATTGCATACTTCAGGTGGTTCAAGCACAATTCAATGACATATCCCCAAATCGCGAAAGTCGTTTGCGCATGTTCTGGTGATTTGGGGAAAGTTAGGAGGATGATAAAGTGGCTTAGGTCCATTTATGTAAAAGGAGATTTTTTGGGGCGTGTCCTTGCAAACGGTGGAAGCTTCTTGAACCAGAGCTTTGAAGAACTGGAAGAGATTATTGGCTATTTGGAAAGCCTTGGTGTCAGGAGAGACTGGATTGGGTATGTGGTCAGCAGATGTCCACAGCTGCTGAGCTTGTCAATGGATGAGTTGGAGACACGAGTCAGGTTTTATAGGGATTTGGGAATGGACGAGAAGGACTTTGGCACAATGGTATATGATTATCCAAGAGTTCTTGGATTTTTAAGCCTGGAAGAGATGAACAGTAAGGTGTTTGCTTGCATTTAGTTCAGTTCTGTCATATTTTTGCTGCACGTTGCATATTTGTAGATGCACCTTTTATTTTCTGCATTTTATTTACTGCCGCTTGCTATGGGCAAGCAAGAATCTATTTCATATTCAGAATGGTTTAAGATTCAGTCGTATCTGTTCAGTAAAAAATAGAGGGTTCAACAAAAATGATGTCACCATCTACTTCCTCCCTTTTAATATAGTGTTGATATGCTGATTGGCGTGGTGTCAAGGGCGAGGTGATCTAGGGTAGGCGGCCCTCGACTACGGAGTTCGTAGTCTCCAGCCGTGTCTTCCAGTCGTGGAGGTTTTACCCCTCACAGTCGCCTGGGCTTAGTTGGAGAAGAGAGAGAGAGAGATTAGGTTGGAATAATTCTTGCTTACCCTGTTGAGTGCCGGATTACAGGAATATATGGCCGATGGCCCAAACCAACTAGAACTAATTGCTCCTAAAATTATGGAACTGAAAAAGGGAAACTATCCTATCCTTCCATCTAGCCACGCGCGTCTGGCTCGCCATGCTCCTCCCTGGACGCGCTCGCCGCGCGTTCCGCTGCACGGCGTACGTCGCGGGCCCGCCTACGCCGATGGTAAGTCCGTCCCCACATGACATCTCCCCTCCCGTCGAGGCTCAGCTCGTCCTCGAGCTGGAATGCGGGGTACTTGGCGCGGAACGTCTCAACGTCTTCCCAAGTTGACGAGGCCGGCGACTCGTCCTTCCACTGAATCAAAACTTGGGGCACTCCACGGGCCAGCCGGTAACGCGTCGCACGTTCAGGCCCGGGGTTCACCGCGCCATGGTGCACGGGTGGTAGTGGTGGGGGTGTCTCCGGCGGCTGGCCCTGGAACTTCTTGAGGAGGCCCACATGGAACACATCGTGAAGGCGAGCTCGGGGCGGCAGGGCAAGGCGAACGGCGACCTCGTTGATCAGCTCGGTGACGCGGTAGGGGCCGAAGTAGCGCGGCTTGAGCTTCCCAGTTGTAGCTTGAGGCAGGGACGCCGCCGCGCGCTGCCGAAGACGGAGGAGGGCCCAGTCACCCACCTGGTAAGCCACATGACGGTGGCCCGCGTCGTAGTGGCGCTTCTGGAGTGCTTGCGCCTGCTCTAGGCGGTAGCGGATGTCGGCGAGGAACTCGTCACGTTCCTCCATGGTCCGGGCGACGGCAGCCACCCTAGTCTCGCCGGGCTCATATGACCGGATGGACGGCGGATCTCGGCCATAGACGACGCGGAACGGCGTGTCGCGGAGGGACGTCTGGTAGGCGGTGTTGAAGACGAATTCGGCCCACGGCAGCCAACGCAGCCATTGTCGAGGTCGATCACCTGTGAGGCACCTCAAATACATGATGACGCGGTTAGCAGACTCGGACTGACCATCCGATTGAGGGTGGAAGGCGGTGGTCATGTGCAGCTTCGTGCCCATCAAGCGCATAAGCTCGCGCCAGAACATGGACGTGAAGGTAGGGTCGCGATCCGACACCATCGACTGAGGCATGCCGTGCAGGCGTACAATGTCGGTGAAGAACGCCTGGGCGACAGACTCGGCGGAGTATGGGTGCGCCAAGGGAATGAAGTGACAGTACTTGCTGAACCGGTCCACCACCGTGAGAATGACGGACTTGCCGCGCACTCGGGGCAACGCTTCGACGAAATCCAGGGCGATGTCGGTCCAGACGCCCTGCGGCACGGGAAGAGGCAGAAGCAGTCCCGCTGGGTGCAAATGCTCGGACTTGTACGTTGGCAGATGACGCACACACGAACGAGCTCCTGCACCAACTGTTTCATGTTAGGGAAGTGGAAGTCGCGGTGCAGCCGATGGAGAGTGCGCTGGACGCCTTCATGCCCGTCCTCGTGCACCGCCGTCATGATCTCCTGAACAAGCGGCGAGGCTGGAGGAATGTAGAGCCGTCCGTTGTACTGCACCATGCCGTCGGCCAGGGACCAGGGCGCGCCGCGGACACCGCCGGAGATCTCTCGGAGCGCGACGAGGGCCGGGTCCGCGTCCTGGGCGTCGCGAAGGCGCGTGACGAAGTCGAAGCGAGGAGCTGACAGTGCCAGAATGGCCCCGTCCTCCGTGTCGCGGCGTGACAGGGCGTCGGCCACCGCGTTCGCCACGCCCGGCTTGTACTCCACCGAGAAGTCAAAACCGAGCAGTTTCCCCACCCAATGATGTTGGGGAATCGTCGCAAGCCGCTGATCCAACAAGTATTTGAGACTATAGTGATCCGTCTTTACGAGAAAGCGGCGCCCCCACAGATAGGGCCTCCAGTGGCACATGGTGTGGACGAGGCCGATTAGCTCCCGTTCATAGGCGGCGAGGGCGTGATGGCGTGGCGCGACCGGCCTGCTGAGGAAGGCGATTGGGTGGCCTTCCTGGATGAGGACCGCGCCGAAACCGTGGGAGGAAGCGTCGCACTCGACGGTGAACGATTTGGCGAAGTCCGGCATGGCGAGGATGGGCGCCGAGGTGACCGCAGACTTTAGGGCGTCGAATGCCGCGGCCGCTGCGTCGTTCCAGGAGAACCCTTCTTTTTTGAGGAGGGCTGTCAGCGGGGCGGCGACGGTGCCATAGTTGTGGATGAATTTGCGGTAGTAGCCCGCCAGGCCGAGGAAGCCGCGTACCGCCCGTGCCGAGCGAGGGACAGGCCAGTCGCGGATGGCCTGCACCTTCGCCGGGTCCATGGCGACCCCTGTCTCGGAGATCACGTGGCCGAGGTAGGAGACAGAGGGCTCGCCGAAAGCACACTTGCTGCGCTTGATGAAGAGCTGGTGTCGCCGGAGCTCAGAGAGCACGACGCGGAGGTGTCGAAGATGATCCGCCCACGTACGGCTGTATATAAGAATGTCATCGAAGAAAACACGGACGAAACGACGTAAGAACGGCCGGAGGACATCGTTCATGAGCGCCTGGAACGTCGCCGGGGCGTTGCACAACCCGAACGGCATCACCAGGAACTCGTAGAGCCCATCGTGAGTCTGAAACGCCGTCTTGTGGACGTCGGAGGGCCGCATCCGGACCTGATGGTACCCTGACCGCAGGTCGAGCTTGGTGAAGAAACGGGCGCCGTGGAGCTCGTCGAGCAGCTCGTCGACGACGGGGATCGGGAACGCGTCCTTGACCGTGAGTGCGTTCAGAGCCCGGTAGTCAACGCAGAAACGCCATGTGCCATCCGCTTTCTTGACGAGGAGGACCGGCGAGGAGAAGGCCGAGTCGCTGCGTCGGACGATGCCTTGGTCGATCATGGCGGCGCACTGCCGCTCCAGTTCATCCTTGTGGGCCGCTGGGTACCGGTAGGGGCGAACCGCGACCGGTTGCGCGCCTGGCTTGAGGACAATATTGTGGTCGCGGGCACGCTCGGGTGGAAGGCCCCGCGGTTCGGAGAAGACATCGGCGAAGCCTGCCAGCAACTCGTCGAGGAGCGGCGCGCTGGCAGTAGTAGCGCAGGCCTCCGGTGCGCCGGCCGAAGGAGCGCCCGCCCAACAGACTGCGCGGCCCTTGTGCTGGAACGACACCGTGCCGGTGGTGAAGTCCCACACGAGCCGCCCAAGAGTGGCCATCCACTGAGTCCCCAGGACCACGTCATACCCTGCAAGTGGCATGACAAACAGGTCGACGCAGAAATCAATGCCGTCGATGGTGAGTGGCGCTTGGCGGAGCACGCCGGGGCAGGGAACCTTCTCGCCGTTTGCCACAGTCGCCGTGAGCCGCGGGCGCGGCTGGACGGGGAGCCCAGTGCGGCCGGCCGCGGCTTCGGCGATGAAGCTGTGGGTGGATCCCGTATCCAAGAGGGCGACGAGGGTGATCCCGCCCAAGACGACCGTGACCTGCACAGTGTTGCCCATGGCCACGCCGGCGACCGCGTGGAGAGAGAAAATCGGGGACTCCGTCTCCGGCGCGTCGTCGCGCTCAGCGGTAGCGCCGTCGTCGTCGTCGTCGACCACGCTGTCCAGGAGGAAGAGGCGCTTGCAGACGCGGTTGTGGCCCCGGCCGTATTTCTCGTCGCAGTTGTAGCATAGGCCGAGGCGTCGGCGTTCCTCCTGTTCGGCTTGTGTCAGGCGCTTGACCGGCCTGCCTTCCACAGTGACCGTTGGCGCGGCAGGCTTCGTGGCCGGCTGGGGCGCTGGAAGCGCGCGCTGGTGCGGCGCAGGCAGGATACCCCGAGCCGGAGCCTTTGTCTGCGCGACGGAGTACTGCTCCATGAGCTCCATCTGGCGGGCGAGGCTCATGGCGGCGGCCAGGGATTGCGGATTCTGGACCTGCACGGCCATACTGAGCGGAGGCAGGAGCCCGCCCGTGAATAGCTGCACCCGCTGCGCGTCGTCGAGGTGGCCGGCGCGGGGAAGGAGGGCCTGGAAACGGTCCTGGTATTCCTCCACCGTTCCCGTGCGGCGGCAGGACGCGAGCTCGAAGAGTGGCGCGGAGCGGAGTGGGGGACCGTAGCGCAGATTGATGAGCTCCTTGAAGCGAGGCTAGGAAGGGGTGCCCTCGTCCTGTTGGACTTGCATGTACCAGAGTTGCGCCCCGTCCTCGAGGTTGTATGACGCCATCCACACCTTCTCCTCCGGCATGATCCGCTGCTGAAAGAAGAACGACTCGCATCTATTGATGAAAACGAGCGGGTCGGTCTTGCCATCATACCGCGGAAAATCGGGCCGCCAATGCTTCGGTGGCCGATCCTGGTGGTGCTCGCCGGAATTCGGTTTAGGGCCTGACGAGGACGAGCTGGCGGAGACGAGGGAGGCGATCGCCTTAGCGTTGGCGTCGACCGAGGCTTGCAGCGCTGCCATGTTCTTGGCGAGGGTCGCCACAGTGGTCTTGAGGTCGGAGTCGTCACCCATGGTGGCAGCGACACAGGAGGCAGCGGACGATGATGCCGACGACGGGGATGCAGCGGCGGCGGCTGGTGGTGGGGGCGAGGCAGCGCGCGGAGGAGACGAGGATCCTGACGATGAGGATCGCCGTGACCGTGATACCAGGTTGTCAAGGGCGAGGTGATCTAGGGTAGGCGGCCCTCGACTACGGAGTTCGTAGTCTCCAGCCGTGTCTTCCGGTCGTGGAGGTTTTACCCCTCACAGTCGCCTGGGCTTAGTTGGAGAAGAGAGAGAGAGATTAGGTTGGAATAATTCTTGCTTACCCTGTTGAGTGCCGGATTACAGGAATATATGGCCGATGGCCCAAACCAACTAGAACTAATTGCTCCTAAAATTATGGAACTGAAAAAGGGAAACTATCCTATCCTTCCATCTAGCCACGCGCGTCTGGCTCGCCATGCTCCTCCCTGGACGCGCTCGCCGCGCGTTCCGCTGCACGGCGTACGTCGCGGGCCCGCCTACGCCGATGGTAAGTGCGTCCCCACATGACACGTGGATCTCAAGTTTAGGGTGCCATATCATTTTACCCATCTAATGGAACTGATGAGGAACATGTCAGAATTACGTTCCTTGTTCTTCTTGAAGAATTCTAATAAAGTTACTGATATACTTCTTGTATTGTTTTCAGTTCTTAAGTCTGGACATCTATTTTTCTAGTTGCTAATGAAATAGCATTCTTGGTGACAGGTTCAATATCTGAAAGAGTTTGGTTTAAGTGCTCAAGAACTTGGGAAGTTACTGGCTTTCAAGCCACAGCTCATGGCCTGTAGCATTGAAGAAAGGTGGAAGCCTCTCGTGAAATACCTGTATCACCTTCACATTTCAAGGGATGGCATGAAAAGAATGTTGATGGTCCAACCAACAATATTCTGTCTTGATTTGGAGACAGTGATTGTACCAAAGGTAATCTCTTAATTGCTTTGACACTCTTCACACACTTCAATTTGTGTTATTCACAGAACGATGTTATGATTTTGTTAAGCTGCTCTTTAAAATATCATGATTTGTTAAACTTGTTAAATTCTCCAATAGGACAAAGTATTTCCTTATTTCTGTTCTACTGGGATTTTGCTCTGATGTACTGAAGTCTGCTGTACAAACATATACATTTTAGGTACAATTTCTAATGGATATTGGTGTGAGGAGTGATGCAATCGGCAATGTGCTTGTGAAGTTCCCTCCTGTATTAACGTATAGCCTGTACAAGAAAATACGCCCAGTGGTTTGTTCTCATATCTCATTATTATTCTTTCAGTTTCAGTAAATATTGTCACATTTTGTTTGGAGTTTATTGCATCAGTTTTTTATACTACCAGTTTTGATAGGAAGTTAGTGTAGGGACTTCTGTAATTTGGCTGCTGGGACAGTATAGGTAGCACCATAGTAAGTAGTCTCAGAAAGCCACATTCTATCAAAGGCACTAAACTTCATATAACTGGAGCTTTGTATAACCAAACCTTTGACCACACAGCGTGTTGGTACTTACATACTTCTTAATATTGGTTTACCATGATGAGCTAACACACAGCAGTTACTTTGTGCATCATTTTGTCAGTGAATCTGTTAGGTATAAAATGTTTGAACCTAATATGCATCTTGCATCAATGATGCATTAACTTGAATTAAACATCAACAACCGTCCTGGTGCCTTGTTTAGAAGTGCTGGTGTTGTGGTGTATAACAAGGGACATAATTCTATCCAAGTGGACCTGATACGAACCTTGGAGCAATGATGTGCACTACTTGAAATTGAACAACCAAAGTAGCAACAGTGAAGTAGAATTAGATAACTGTCCTAGTGTTTTGTTTGGATATGTTAGTGTTGTGGCCGATGACAAGGGATGAAATTCACCGTAGCTCAGTGTTTATTTTCAATTTTTAAAAACTTCTACTTATTCCTTATGCTACTCCATGTCTCACACGTGTAAATCATAGGTTATATTCCTGCTGACAAAAGGTGGAGTAAAACAGGATGACATTGGAAAGGTTATTGCGTTGGATCCACAGCTCTTGGGCTGTAGTATCGCACATAAGCTAGAAGTTAGTGTCAAGTACTTCCGGTCACTGAGCATCTACCACTTTGTGCTCGGCCAGATGATTGCTGACTTCCCAACGCTTCTCAGATACAATGTGGATATCCTGAGACCAAAATACCAGTACTTGAGGCGTGTAATGGTGCGGCCACTGAAAGATCTCATCGAGTTTCCACGGTGAGTTTGGAGCTCATGTTTACTTCTAAAATGAACAGACTGGTAGCCTAGTTGTTTTTTGTCATTGTTGTGACCCTCAGCCCCCTAATGCCCACCACTGGATGGTTTCCAGGTTCTTCAGTTACTCCCTGGAGGATAGGATAGAGCCTCGGCACCAAACTTTGGTGGCAAACAGGGTCAACATGAAGCTGCGGTACATGCTGAGTGGCTCTGACGAAGAGTTTGCGCAGAGGGTGCGAGAGGCTGTCGAGAGGAGAGCGAGATTTGAAGCTAGAAAGGCTTGTCCGGAGACATTTTCAGGTTCTTCAGAGACATCCAGGGAAACAGAAGCTACAGTAGCATCAGCATGCCAAGATAACATAGAGGTGGTGGATTAGATAGATGAATGAATGCTGATAGCTCTGCAAAAACAAGCATAGCATTTCTTCCTTACCGTGTACATGTTCTAAAAGGAAAGAAAAAGGTTACATTTTACTGTCGGTAAGAATGTAAAAAATGCTAATGTTGTGACACATGCCAAGACAACTGCAGAAGCAGAGAGGCTTGGGTGCCTTCGGAGGTGGCGCGAGGGATGACATTGTTGGCACGCCAGGGATGGAGGAGGGAATCGGCGGCAGCGTCACCTTGGGGATGGAAGCAACCGGCGGCAGCGTCAACTTAGGCACGACGACGGCTGGAACGGGAGGCAGCGTGGCGGCGTTCGGCATAGCTGGCACAGCAGGCACCGTTGGCACAGTCACCGCGGGGACAGAAGGAACCGACGGAATCGGCGGCAGCGTCAACTTAGGCATGACGATGGCTGGAACGGAACGGATGGCAGCGCGGCGGCCTTGGGCATGGCTAGCACAGCAGGCACCATTGGCACGGTCACCGCGGGGACAGAAGGCACCGCAGGCATTGGCGGCACGGTGACCGTGGAAACGGCAGGCATCGGCGGCAAGGTGACGGCAGGCATGGCGGGGACCGCTGGCACGGTCGGCTTCGGCTGGGCAGGGATGCCAGGTACGGCAGCCGGTGCCGCAGCGGGCGCCGTGGCGTCGGTGAGCAGGCGGGCCGCATGGCAAGTGCTGCTGCCTAGGACTAGCATGAGTGCCACGACGAGGGCCAGTGCATGGAGGCTCGAGGTGGAGGCCGTTGGTGGGCCGACGAGCTGGCAGGAGGCTAAGCTCAAGAGCAGTCGATAACAGTTTGCAGACGCAGTCTCGACTGTCTTGTGAATTGTGATGCAGAGACGAGAGACAGTTGTTGGACGCTCTGAAAAACCTGGGGGTACGGTTAGCTCGTCCTTCGACGATGGTCATCGATGTGCCATCACCTGACATTATATTGGTTGTTGATTGTTGATCTTCCGAACCGTCTCAAGATGCTTGTTTGGTGAGACGACCGATGTGGCGAGCCATCGATGTGGATGACGTTGGGTCCGGTCCATGCCTCCATGCATGGTTCTTCCACGGCTTGCTCACCATCTTGCCTAAACCTGGATGCCTGGATTATGTTGCATGGTTCAGCTCACCTTCTTTCCTAAAGCTTTTTTTTTTAGATTAAGGAACAAATGTATTCTGGTCTCCCACATTCATAACCGAATGGGTGCAACCAAACTGAACCAATACAAAACCATGGTCTAACGACCAAAGACTGCTAAGCAGATTAACCCCAACTCCAGACTACTGCTAATCAAACGACACTCGTAGTGTCTGAACACATCACACTGGATACCCAAAGACTGCAAAGCAGATGAACCCCAACTCCAAACTGCAGCTAACCAAACGACACTTGTAGTGTCAAACACGGCATTATTCCTGCATGAGCATGACACAACCTGACGATTCTATGGCAGAGCCCTTTCATTTCTCGCAGAACTTTTCATTTATTATCGTCCATTAGAGGGAATGCATGGTAAGCCATTCATCTACATGATATAATTAATCTGTGTGATGTTGCAGGCTTGCAGCTCCTATTGACACCATTTGAGGCTTATTTGGGCAATCACCATTTGATTGCTTCTACGTCTGGTCTATGGACTCATTTGTAATAAGCTGTATGAGGTCCATTTTGTAATATATTAAAATCAGCTAAAAGAGCTACCCGAGCCCCTCTCTCATTTGGAGGGCTTTTCTTCCCTTTTGAGGGATGAGAGAGGGAGAGAGGAAATTTGAGGCATGATGCTTTTTTTATCTATTAAATCCACCAATATAAGACTGAATCCTGGGGATTTGCAGGCTCCTCAATCTTGTTGACTCATACCTCCTGTACTCTTGTTTTTTAAGATAAAGGAAGCTTTATTGATCTCGAACAATGGTATTAAGGTGATACAAATCGATCCAAGGATATTCCTGGGCTTTGCATTGCTAGGTTGCACACAACCTTAGCTATGATTGTTGAAAGATAACAATATGACATCATGTCGCAGGAAGCTAACACACAACTTATAGTCTTCACTTTTGTGCACAACCAAAGTAACACATAGACCATGACGAAGGCCCTATAAAAGCAATACCATCAAGAAGAATACAACACACGCATGTGTTCGTCGTTGCCATCATCCAACCAGTAAATGCCAGACCATAGGCTTCACCCTAGGGAGCAATTCATTGAACTCTAAATCATTCCTTCAACAAGGAAGCGGCAATAATGCCATCATTACTATGTACAACCAACAAAGGCTAGCTAGACTTTAGTATTTCTCGCTAGTCATGGAACCGATCTCCAAACGACCACCCGCCAACATTGTTTCCTCTTCTTTCTGAGCTAAACTAATTAATCTTAGTCTTGAACAACTACAATTTGCCAGTAATTCCATGACACTACCTTCTTTAGGCATGCCACCCCCACAGTCACGGTGTTGCGAGCTAGCCAATAGGTGTACGCTTGAAGTCAGTAGGATCCATTTGAAGAGATGATGAGATGACCAAACAAACAATTACGTGAGTACATGCCAAAGGCGACTTTGGCGTCCAGGCTTGTATGGAAGCCACCTAGATTTTAGGTATTGGGGATAGGAGGAATCTACCATGAATTGAACGTACTTAGTTGGTTTTGTTTCTTGTGGTGGAATCTAGCCACCTAGTTTCAAATTCTCAACCTTACATGGATGCTCATAGTTTTATACTTCATTTCAGGATTTAACGTCGTTGTCTTCCAGTCGTAGACGACATGTCTATCAATAGAGAGAGACGCTTGTGGTGACTTCATCATTCTCGAGATCTAACGACTGTCAGCCTAGTATTTTGGAGCTGTATATAAAGGTAGTGCCTATGTGCATCTGTTCATAGGTGTGAGTGTGCATACGTGTTTGCGGATGTCTACATCTATACTATATGATTAGAAAAAAAAGAGGGATGAGTAGTATGCTCTGAATTATTTATTCTGCTATTTTTTTGGTGCAGATGAGCTGAGAAATATGTTGGAGATGTTCTTTGGAGCACGCAAAGACAAAAGGCAATGAACAACTGATTAAGGACAAAGTGAATTTGTAATAACCAGCTGATGGCAGCTGGGCATATGAAAACAACTTTTGCTTCTGAGTCTTAAAGATTCCTTCATCCAGTGGCTGGCTGGATCCAACATATAGAACCTCTAATGGTCATGACGATGGACCGAGAGGTAGACTACGTGAAAAATAGTTTGTAGCAACGGGGATTTTTTAGAGGCGGCTGGCATTGAAGCAGCCCTATAGTGGCGTGCTCGGGCTCCAGCACAGCAGCTGTCCCTACAAATGACACAGTAGGGGCGGCTGGTAATACGAGTCGCCCCTACAAATGCGTCGATTTGTAGGGGCGGCTGGTATGTAGAGGCGGCTATTACCAGCCACCCCTGCTGTGTCTATTTGTAGGGGCGGCTGAATCACCAGCCGCTCCTATAAATGCCCACTGTATATATAGCAGCCACCTTCTTCCACCTCGGGCCACTCTCTCCAACCCGAGCAAAAAAGGTTGGGAGGCCTTAGGCTCCTCCTAAAAATTGCTCTACTAAGGGGGGAGGTTTTGATCTCAAATACTTTGGTGGAGAGGTTATACAAGGTAAGAAAATGCTACTCCAAGCCTTTATTTGAAGTTTTAATGGTTGGTTAGTGATCGTAATTAGAGTTTTGATTTTCTCTCTCTTCTATGGTGCTTGAGCTTTGTATGAAGAAAATTAGACTCTAGTTTTAAAGCTATTAGTGTAAATTAGTTAGATAAATGAGATTACACCATTTATTAGTCGATCTTGCTTGATTTTAGTTGAGATTACACCCTAGTTTCATGTATGTTTCATGTACATGTAGATTTAGATCTAGATATAGGGTTTGTTTTTTTTTAATTTTAATTTTGTAAATTTATGTTTCATGAAATTGGAATAGGGTTTGCATGAAAGGTAGTGGGTAAAATATTAATTGTTGCAAATTGTTGTCTTTGAAATTATTTATTTTAATTAATAAATATATATTTTTAATTATTTATTGATAAATAGGCCATTAATTAATTACCCTCTACCATGGTGTGTTTTTGATATGCTTCATGTAATTTTATTTTATATTTATATTTATATATATCTGAAGTATATAGAATTATTGTCAAGTAATTAATTATTAATTTGATTCCTTTACATATATATCTGAATTAGTAGTCCTTTAATGTATTTTCTTTGATTGTTATGTTTTAAAAGGTGGAGTACTAGAAGTCTTGAATGTATGGTTCGTTAAGGTTCCAGGCAGGTTTTCGTGAAGAGGTGGATAAATTTATTGAAGCCGCAGAGAAGCATGCAGCGACGTTGATAGAGAATAAGGATATAATTATTTGTCCCTACAAAGATTGCAAGAACCTTATGGTATGGATAGATGTGAGTATCATTAGAGAACATTTGATTGTGCGAGGATTTGTTAAGGACAACACAGTGTGGATTCATCATGATGAAACAACGGTTGTTGATAATGATGACAATGATGAAGAAGACGCCGCCGAAACCCTAGAATACCTGTCCCAATACTCAGAAGAGTTTGATGTACAAATGGATCCTGAGTTTGGCAATGAACAAGGTGGTGATGCTGGTGGTTGGGATGGTAACGACGAAGGTGGTGCCAATAATGATGGGAGAGCACGTGTTGGTGATGAAGATGATTTTGATGATTTAGAGGAAATGATTCGGGTCTTTGGACCAGAGATTTTACTAAAGAGCCCGAAAGGTCTAGAAAATTTAGAAAGGGTGACAAAAGCATCGAAGGAGACTGTGTATGGTGTTGAAAAGGGCTGTCCGACACATTGGACATTGCTACATTTTGTGCTTGAGCTATTCATCCTGAAGGCTAAGTACGGCTCGTCAGACTGTAGTTTCAATGATCTATTGCGTCTCCTGTCATGGGTGCTGCCACAACAAACACAGTTCCCACCAACAAATACCAAGCGAAGAATGTCATAAGTCTATTGACAATGGGGGTTGAAAAAATCCATGCATGCCCCAACCACTGTAACCTTTTTCGTGACGAAATGTTCAAGTCACTGGATAAATGTCCCCAGTGTGGGGCCAGCCGGTATAAGAATAATGACCTTTACGGTGGGGACGGAGCTTCCATGGGGAAAAAGAGGAATAAGAAGGGTACGAAAAAGGTGGTACAAGAATCTCAGCCCTAGAGGACACTCCATTAGGCAATGATGCAAAGCAGAGAAGAATTCCTGCCTTGGTAATGTGGTACCTGCCAGTGACCGACCACTTGAGATGTATCTTCCTAAACCCTAAAGAAGCCGCACTCGTGACATGGTGGGATGATGAGCGCAAGGTGGATGATGATAAGAATGCACACCTGACTAATTATAGTCAGCGGCAAAGGATCGATGAGAAGCACAAAGAATTCAGCGATGACCCAAGGAATGTACGGTTTGGCTTGAGCACCGATGGAATGAATCCCTTTAATGAGAGGATGAGCGACCACAGCACTT